TAGGAGGGAAAATGAGTATTCATGTTCTGTTCACCTTCTCCATTTAGTTATTATTTTCATCATATCCATGTATCTGTTCTTTTTAATAATAGATTTTCTTATCTCATCATGACACCTTTCTAAACTATAAGACCCTTCTACACCTTTCTAAACTGTATGTCCCTTATAYACCATTTCCTCTCCTTAATTTTCTTTAAACCATGCCCTTCATCAGTCTATGATATTTTTTTCCTTTCTTTTTCACTTTTAAATAAACTGCAAAGTAGTACCATATGTTTGTTCTCTGAAATTATTGGAAGAGTGGACAGATGAAGGTGTCTGTCTGGCTTCCAAAATACTTTATTAGTTTCTTCCATYTTCCTTCTTCCATTTCCATGTCTCCTGAATTGTTACCTCTGTTGCAAATGCCCAGCACATTCCAAAGGAGAACAAGTTCTGCTTTCCACCCTTTTTGCAGCAGATTCTTTTGGTCCCCAAAAATATTGAATAACAGTTAAAGTTGGGCAAGTATCTTATTGCTTATCATGTTCTTTATAGACCTTTTTAAAGCAAAATAAGAAATYGATGAAGAGCTGCTGTTTTGTCATAAGTTTTCACTGAATAATTCCAGTGTGCAATTTTCACAYCGAATTTCATTCACTGGTTTGGTAAGAGAAATTCCTTGATATTAGTATTATGTATTTTTTTTTTTTTAAATGGTTTTCTTCTTTATATTTTCTCTGGTGGAATACTTTCCCCTCCTYTCAGTCCCTGTCTCCTTCAGAAATTTTGAGTGAAAAAAAAGAAGTGAAACGAGAAGTAAAATTGGTATTTTTTTCCAGCGTATCTGGTTTATTTCTGAAAATAGTTGATGCAAACTGAACTAAAATGAGTATTGATCTGGGCACAAATCTRGCCTTAGAAAACTCCTATGTTTGCAGTAAGCTTCATGAAGAATAAAGACTCCTAAAAGTTTTTATTTGCTTCACTTCTAATAGCATTATGTGTAAAACTAGAAGACTTGATGATCACAGGCAAGGTGAAAAGAAGGTTGTCTGGTTTGTTTTATCATTAAGATTCAGGCAAATACTACATAGAATAACAAGCATCATAATTAGGAAATTTGATCCGTTTTATTTTTCTGGAGTGTCTGATCTGTTTGCTCAYTGACACTGCAACCCCAGAGGTACCAGAGCTCTTGAGCCTCACAAAACTGCTGCTGTCCAGGAAGAGAAACASAGAGCGATACAGAGCTGGGAGGGGGCAGAGAGAGATTTTTATTGGAAGCTGTTAAAGTGGTTGCTATGAGACCTTCTCCAGCTAACACAGGCACAGCAGTGAGTGTGAGGCTGATAAATCATAGCTCTTGCATTATACCTTTCTGCCTTTTTTTTTTCTTTTTTCCCTCCCCCCAACACAGCTTTTATAGTTGTTTAAGATCAGAGAAAACACCTGCCAGTTGCTTTTTTTCTCCTGTTTCACTCCCTTCTGCTGCCTGGTGCAAGATGGAGCTGGAAAATGCGATGATCAGCTCCTCGAGCAGTTCTTCATCAGGCTCCAGAGAGTACAAGGTGGTGATGCTGGGAGCAGGGGGAGTTGGCAAAAGCGGTAAGTTTCACCAACAATATTTTGGGGGGAGAAGGGGTGAATTGGGAGCGTAAAGTTCACAGGACAAGGGCGCTGTTTTAACGAGGGGTTTCCTTCCTCTTTCTCTTGGATAAAAGACTACAGTTCGTGGCTGGGGCAATGAGTCAGCTTAATTTGTTACAGACTGAGAGGCTGTGAGCGTTTTTAATTGGTTATTTGTGCAGAGCTGACCTTGTGTGTGTGTGCTGTGTGTGAGGGGAGAGCAGCCAGGCTGTTGCTCTGAGTTTCTCAGCGAGTGCCCGAGTCGCTCTCTCGCATGGTGAGGGGTGGTGATGTGCCGGACAGTGGGGGATGAAACTTGTTGGCCTGACAGTCCTTGTGCCCAGGCAGAAAGAAATCAAACTGCAGAGTCAGCTGTGCAGTGCACAGTG